TAGCCTAAGAACTACAAAAAAAAAAGGTCTGTGTTATGAAAGAATAAAAGTAGAAGAACAATATTGCAGAGAAAGAGAGAGAGAGGGAATTCTTATTGAATTTTGGGATGAATTACAATGGAATAGAACCCTCTATTTATAGGGAGAGGGCGACTTAGCCACCAAGTAATAAACCCTAGAATCTCCCTAAATATAGACATTCACCATAAATAAAATTCTATTTATAACACTCCCCCTTGAATGTCTATTCAACAGATAATGTGCCTCGTTAAAACCTTAACTAAAATAAAACCCAATGGGAAAAAAAAATCTAGAAAAGGAAAAAGAGTACACATATCTAATGATACGCCTTTTGGGTTCCTCGTTAAAAACCTTGCAAGGAAAACCCAGTGGGACAAAACCTTGTAAGGGAAAAAGAGTACAACGCGTATTAACTCCCCCTGATGAGAGCATCAATTCACATCCTTAAGCATTTGCATTCCAATCTTGTGCACCATCTTCAAAAGATCTTTGGTAGAGATTTGATAAACAAATCAGCCATATTAACTTGAATGAATATATTGCACCTTGAAATCATCATTCTTGATAGATATATAATGTCTTCATATAATGTCGTGAAATGGCTCTTCAATATCTCCATAGAGATTCTCGCTATCGTATTGTCATGCTTATAATTATAGCAAGATACATATATGCACAAATTGCACTGAGGATGTGGTACTTCAAGATCAAGAATTGTATATGCTTCAAGCAACTTAAATCCTTCATGGATTGTCGAATAAGTTAAGTCATGTAAGCCATATAATAGACTTTAGATGCATATCAAGTTTTCATGTCATGCTAGACATATAAGATATCGAAAACTGATTGCACATACCATTGACTTTATACTTTCAAGTGTTTGAACTACATGCATGCATGTTCAAAACTACATGTCTTTCATATGAAACCAATTCTATTCGAAATTGTTTCACCAGACTTAAGATCCTCATATATATTTAGCGGTATCATAGACGTCGTCGACGAACATTTTATATCGGTTCCAACCTTCTTATTTTTCATAAAGACATAACATAGAGATCTCTTCATTCATATATTCAGGTACCTGAATCTTTCATGAGATTTAATGAAGTGTTATGTCATGTGATCTTCTAGATCACTTGCCTCCTTTATTATGATCATTTTGATCATTTGCTCATCTTCTTTATTAAGAAGTTTATTTGAAACCGATTTGTCTATACGCTTCAAGCGTACTATAGACTTTGTCCTTCTAGGACTTAATATGAGCATTTGCAATGAGAATATAGTTACTTTCTTTGGGTCAGCAAATGCGTCTGGCATGCTTTGTAATATATTGCAGATGAATTATCCTTTATGAACTTCAAGTTCATATCATCTTATTCGAGGATCTAGCTGTACAAATGATAATTCATTCCACGTAACTTTTTCTCAATTGTTTATCATGTCTCCCCCTCATGTTAGAAAAACTAACTTGTTTCCTCAACTTTGAGAACCCATCTTTGTGCGTTATGGTGTTAATCAAAATATACACCGCACATCAATAATAATAAGATGGAATTATTTGATTCCTGATCCTGAACCACTTGTGAGGGGAGAAAATAATATACTTTCGTATATAACGTATATCAAACTGATATAGATAACTTTGTTCTCATAAGCAATAGTTTAGCTATTAAGTGGAGGCACTCAATAAATCATTTTGCTAAACCAATTGTGATGTAAACCAACTTATCAAGATGAACTTCTTGAATAGAAAATCTGGAAATTATGCTCGAAATTAAATTATTGAGCAAGTTACCTCGCAAACACCATGTTGCGAGTTAATAATAATCGCACATGTAACCATCTCATAGATGCATCTTATGTGGTATACATGGCAGGTGAATGGGCCCATATTCACCTTTGATATTTCCAGCATTCATGGGATTCAATCCCAATTTTAATTGGTCTATTAATTAATGAGAACAAGCAATGTAAGAGAATTCGTAAAGAACTTTCTAGTTCTTTAATATTTACCCATGTGAATTCTCTATTATTTTTGCACATCATACATGAATTAACATGGCTAAACCAAGTATGCCAACTGGATAAATTATCAATATTGATAAACTTCAGGTTTACACCATGATGTGTGCAATTATGAATAAACTCCAAGTTTATTATGATATGGGTTTTTATATCAATAAATATCCACTTCATTGTGGTATTCTTTTGTTTATGTAGTACAATGGAGAATAAAGCGGGTAGCTTTTCACATACATATTACCCTGCTACAAGTTGTAGTAATAGAAGATATTAAATCCTTCCTTTATTTATAGTCTCAATATAATCAACCGCTTTCGCGTATACTTTGAAACTGAATAAGTTTCTTTGAGACTTACTACAACACAATACCTTATTGGTAATTAATTGTGTTTCTCCAAAATAGTATAATTGGCTCTTGCAGAGTTCTCAATTAATTTTGTAGTACCACATATTCATCAACACCCATATGGTGAATATCTCTTTTAAAGAGAAAGTTATACCATTATGGTTACGGTCAAAATTATATGCAAGATCTGTTTCTTGCATTACCGTTGACTTTTAATAATCACAATGCCAAAATATTTTGGCGTACAATAGGTACGTGACCAATGACCATTCGTGCCATAATAATGATATTATTTCTTATATCATCTCAAACCTCCTTCTAGAGGTGAGTGTGGTATATACCACTAGCACGCTCATATTCTTCCAAAAATAAATATGTATTCTTAAATCAGATGTTGTCACATTCACATCATGAATAGACTATAATCATCTATATGTGCTTTACAAAATCTCATGTCAAATTGATGACAAATATTTTTCACAGAGTGAAAGATTATTTTGAGAATCCTAATTGTTCTCATTATCACAATGATGACGATTATAATTTCGCCTATTGCCACGTCCACATCCATTGATACATTCATAGTGATAATTTTGTCTTCTTTCAGACTTATCACATACTGCTATCACATTCTCTTAAGGGAATGAAAATGGAGCAAATTCAATGGGACGGGTTTTCAATTTTGTGTCCATAATCATACATGAATTTGATCATGGCAAGACATAGAAACTTTTACCACTTCAGGTGGTTATAATTTCTTACAAACTCCATTAGAGTTGTTATCAAAATTTATTGTCTTTGTATTTAAAATCAAATTATAGAATAAAAGAGAAAAATACAGTAAAATACTTACCTTAAATCCAGAATTTAATCATGAAGGAAGTTCATGGAATAATTGACAATCATTATGCTCAATCCCAAAGCTTCTACTCAATTGGTTAGAGTCTCGTGCTGATAACGTGTTATGAAAGAATAAAAGTAGAAGAACAATATTGCAGAGAAAGAGAGAGGGGGAATTCTTATTGAATTTTGGGATGAATTACAATGGAATAGAACCTTCTATTTATAGGGAGAGGGTGACTTAGCCACCAAGTAATAAACCCTAGAATCTCCCTAAATATAGACATTCACCATAAATAAAATTCTATTTATAACAGTCTGGAATTACTTTAGTAGAAAAACGCTCATGTTACACCAAGTGAGTTTCTTTCTCAAAATTCAATTTCCGTAAGCAATTTGGAAGAATTGTCGGCCGCTATTTCAAATTCAAAAAGTAAATTCCTTTCTCTATCTTTAATAATTCATTGTGTGGATATTGAGTTGATGAAAATTACTAACTAGTTGGATCTAGGAATTATCTAAATACTACAAAACCTTAATTGAAAAACCTTATATCGCCGGCCACCATCTCAGATCCAAAAAGTAAGTTTCTTTCTCTATCTTTAATGTTTCATTATGTGAGTATTGGGTTGATGAAAATTGCTAATTAGTTGGGTCGAGGAATTACCTAACGACTACAAAATCTTAATTGAAAAACGTCATACTACACAAATCTCATCCGCAAGTCATCGGCAACCAAAATTTTCGACCACCATCACAACCAAAAAAGTCAGTAAGTTTATTGCTAATTAGTTGGGTCTATGGCTTCGATTGTCAATGTTTAATTTACTGAATGAGTAAAATTATTGTATCTGTTCTAATTTAATATTGAAAACTCTATGGCATTGGTTTTCAATTAAAAAAACTATTAACTTTATAGCATTTTTTATATGGCATTATTCTTATAGTTATTTGACTTCATTTTTCTTATATTCTAGATCAGTAGCTGCCTATGTAAGGTAGTTCAATTTGAATTGTGGATTTAGGTAGATGTGAACTATTTAGTTCGTTAGCTTTCTACCTCTTTGTGTTAATGTTCCATTGATTCAACTATGTTAATTTTTGTCCAGATATGTTTGTGATTTGGATTCTGTTAAAGAAATGCTATATGTTCTAGTTTCGCCTTTTGCACTTTAAAAATCATGAAAATAGGTGTTTGTTCCTTAACAATACATGAACATAATCCATAAAATGCTTACTGTTTTGATCCTTTAAAGTCAAGGATGTGGTAACTCAGATTCTCAAATAAAATTAAATCACGAAAGTGTTACTTAGTGGTTGATATGCTGGGAAAAAATCTTTTAAGATCTGCTATTTGTTTAAAAAAGAAATGATCAGTGTTAAATCTATTCGACTAAATATTAAACTCTCCAAACTGGAATGATAAGTTGGTTTCTGTTAAGTTCACCTATTGAAAGTTAGTAATGCAGATGTTAGTTTAATTTATTTGTTTTCTTATGTATCACATATAATGCTCATAGGTGTCGTAGTTTTCAATTGAACATATGCAGTTGATATAGTATTTGAAGTTAATTGTTGGTGGTTTCTTTTTTTACGTCAAGGAGCTCTATGTAATCTTAATGAAACATAACTGAAACTTGTTGCATTTATGGGAATTTTTGGCTCATCTGTTAGTTTGGTCACATGTTAGGTAATGAAAGGAATTGAAATCAGTGCTTTGTGTGCCTACTTGAGTGTCGTGTCATCTTGTTATTCAATGGGTGCACGAGATTGAAATTTGAAAGATATCTTGCTTATGGATTAAGAATGAAATTTTCAGCGATAAAGGTGGAGGTTAATTCATATTGCTATGCTATTTTCCTGTTCATGAATTCCAAAATGGATTAAATTATGTATTCTATGGTCAGGAAATGATAAATGAAAGGATGAGTAATAGTGAGAGATCTACTGAGAACCTCCTCGTAGTGTTGCTTGGAAAGGCAATGTGTATTTTCAGGTATTGGAAAAGAAAAAAAAAGCGGGTGTATCCGTGATTTAGGAATTAGTCCAAGTCCTTCTGTTCTATGGGGTAGTAGGTATTTCTTAGAAAATATTATTGTAGATGATTCGTCTAGTGAGGTTATATAAAGGTTAGAATAAGAGATAATCGGATAAACAAAATGAAGAAATGAATATGATGAACAAAATCAGGAGAATATGCTATTAGAACTACTCCAAATGAGACAATTCATGCGCAAATATGCTCCTAATGCATCTATATCTTAAAGTAGCAATGGCACCTCAGGTGAACAGGTAACTCGATTTTATAAGCCATAAACATTTTGGTTGAAATTTTAATCATATAAAAGTATTATTACCTAACATGTTAACATTTATTAGATCACTGACGCCAACAGTGGACATGAACGAGTAGTACAAACATCAAGGATACTTAGTGTTGCTGAAAATGCTCAATCTCCTCACGGTATTACTCATCTTTATCCTTCGTCACTACTGTTTGAGGATTTTTTTTTAATTTGTTGTTGTATTTGGGATTACTTTGGATGCTTTTTGCTTTTATATATATTTTTCCTACTATTGTTGATGTCGTAAGGTTGTGATAGTAGTTGCCTGCTTGAATCAAATTCACTTTTCTGCGGGTTTAACACTATTAAAGTAAGGAGAATCAGATCTTTCTATGGGACTAAAAGAAGGATTGTAAACGAGAATCTTCTTGTTGACGACAATCATGACTTTTTAGGGACTGTTTTTTTGGTTGAGTGCTACTTTTGTCTGCTGTTAGTGAACCAAATAAAGCACAAACAAACACTAAAAGGTTAGGGGCACAGGGATCCAGATTAGCTCCAATAAGTAGAGGAGAGCTCTAGTTATTTTCAATAGATATATGTATATGGAAGCCATGTGTACCTATGAAAATCTAACACTTTCCCTTTTTTCAAACAAAGAATAACATATGCTCATCCAACAAACTTGTACGCTCCCATTTCTGTATCTAGGTTGAAATAGGAATCTCTTTTGCTTTTCCTAATAAATAATTTAATTAAAATATACCCAATCCTTCTCCTCGTTTCCAGATCCATGACAACATTGGAGGTTGTCAAAGGCAACACCCCCTTATTTTTCTTTAGAAGAACCTGCTCATATTGTTCCTACTTCTATAAAGCATATGTTGTAAAGAAAAAGAATTTATTGTAGACTATATAGAAGATAAACACACCAATATTAGATCTTTTCTTCTTTTCTATAATACCCATGATTAAAATTATCACTAATTAAATTTTATTTCTCATGAAGCTTTGTTTCTTTGTTTACCTATTGCCAAAATCTGTTGAGCTAAAGAGATGCAATCAGGCCATTAGATTTTCGCAAGGACACGTGGCTTCCATCTAGATATCTATTGAATATAACTGGAGCTCTACTTACTGGAGCTAATCCGGACCCGGGGTATAGAGAATACTAGCCTAACTAGGAGAGGATTTGTTATCTGTAGAAGAGTGCTTTCTAATTCAACTTAATGGAGTTTATTACTACATGATACTGATTAGTATTCCTAAAATAAAATATAACCTCCAACATTTGGTAAAAGGAGTGCTATGAGTATAGGCTCTTGTTGAGTTCGTTGTTTCTGTAAGCTTGTAGCAATTTTTATGTACTGACTAGCTTACTCCTTTATAGTCCTCATATGTGAAGAAAGAAAAGAGTGTTCTTGGAACTTCTGTTATTCTTGAATATAAAGAACATATTTTATGGGTCTCTGGTTTCTTTTATTGTTTCCGGACATCATTTTTCTAGCCTTTATTGTTGATATTTGTTTGCTTGCTTGCTTGCTTGTTGTTGTTGTTCTTGTAACTTGGCATCTAGCTTCTTTTTACTTGTCCGAGCTAATACTCTACTTTTGAATTTTTTTTTCTTCTTTATCATAACAAAGAAAGAACTCTCTTTAATTATTTGCACATCTATTTTTCTTGCCTATTAATCCATCGAGTTGTTTCTCCTTATAGATGTAAGGTGAGAGAGTTGGCTGACAAGAATATTTTTTTCACATTATATTTCAATTTTGACTAAATTATTTTATAATTTCAGGTCATACAGTCTGATGTTCGATAGTTTAGATGAAAGATTTCGAAATGATGTAAAGTTACGAAAATCATTTGAAGACCATCATTCGTCTGAATTAGTTATATAATGACATTAGTTATTTAGTTCAAATAATATAAGTTTATTTTTTAAGTTACTATGACATAATATTTTTTTATTAGTACTTCCCTTTGTTAGGATTTTGTGAGATATATTATCTTTTTTGAATTAATATTAATATATTTTGTTATTTGAATAATATTATGAGAATGTAGTAACTATTATTAATAATGGCTAAACTATTGCTATTACAGCTTGTGACTGGTAGCGCTAATTTAGCTGGATATACCAACTATAAAATTGGATGATAAAAGAGAAAATTAAGATGTGTTCATGGGGGATATTGCAGCCATTATAATTGCTGAAAATAATTATCGTTAAAAATATTGACATTTAGCGGTAATTTAGTTAAAGACAATAGCCATTAAAATGGATGCTAAAAGGGCAAACTAAGATATTTTTAGACGGGATATTATAGCCATATTAATTGCCACAAAATAATTGCCATTAAAAAGATAAACTTTTAGCGGCAATTATTTTGAATTTAATGGCTATATAAATGGATGTTAAAGGAGTATAATTAGTCATTTTGGATTTGGATGTAGCAGCCATTATAATTACCGCAAACAATTATCGTTAAAGATAATAGTTTTTAGCGGCAATAAACCATATATTTTACCAGCTTTTGTTACAAAGGCCGCTAAAGGCTTTGCCGACCCCCGCTTCACCGGTAAAACACCAATGACCGGTAAAAGATATAGCGGCTATTGTTATTGCCGCTAATGCCGTTTTGTATTGCCGCTAAAGCCCCTTTTTGTTGTAGTGATATAGAAGTACTGAAAAAACTTCTCAATATAATTAAAAAGACTAAGTAGAAACTTAGTCAACAAAATGTTTATACAAGTGCACCAATATGATAACTGGGGACTTTTTCCAAAAATCCCTTAAAAACTAACCAAGGGATAAACCACCATTCAACAAAGAATAAAAACAAGTTTAAAAACATAAACTGGTCACTAAGAGCTTGGAGCATCAGAAGGTGCGATATTAGCTTCACTTTCAGGAACAACCATGGGTATGGTATCAACAACTTCTGAAGAAGCAGCAACATATGCGGTGTCAGCTTGAATTGAAGTGTTAGCAAGAGTCACGGAAGCTTTAGCTTCTGTTGACTGAGTCATGGAAGTTTCACCCTCGGGAACCTGAGCCACTATGTTTTCAACTTCAAAAGCTTCAACCGTAGCTTCTTCATTTGCAGGTTCTTCAGCCACGGGAGTCTCAATTGCCGGAGAAGGAAAGTCAAGTGGTTGTTGAGTCTTTTCGATAGCTTCTAAAACTTTGGCCAATTTTGAATCCAAATCAAAGTTTTCTTGTTTGGCCTCAGTTAAAGCATCACGACGAGAGTTCAGAAAAGCCCAACTCACTTCCAAATCTAACTTGTCTTCGAGAATTTCATAATCTTTCTCCCACACAGCAAGCTCCTTCTTCAGCTCTTTGTTTTCAGCTAAGGTTGAATCAACAGAAGCTTGAAGGGAGGCATGAGAAATCTCTAAAGCACGTACCTTATCAGAAGAAATATTCAAATCAGCTTGAGCTTGAGTCAAGCTTTGTACCAATTCTCCTGCATTTTCTTCTTTTTTGCTCAGAAGTGTCCTAAGTTCTCTGATCTCTTCACTTGACTTTGACAACTGTTCAGAAAAGGAACACTCAAGGCGTTCCTTATCCTTCTCAAATTGGCTTGAAGAAGCCTTGGCAACTGCTAATTCAGAGGTCAGTGCTCGCTTCTGCTGCTCCAGATTATCTCTACTCTCTTGCAATTCTTCTATAGTTCCTTGAGCATTTTCAAACTGCTCCTTCCAATTAGCTGCTTCTAGCTGGGCTCCCTTAGCTATTCTCTCAGCCTCAAGGATAGACTTTTCAGACTCACGAGCCTTCTTTTCTAGAAGGGAAATTCTTCCCATCAATTCTGTGCCGATAAGGTTAGCCTACAATGGTAAAACAAGAAAGTAAGAATCTAGAAGTAAAAAAAAAACTTGTAAGTAAATAAAGGAGAAAATACCTTTAAAGTAGAATGAACTATGTCATTCATCAAAGTTAAGCAGCTGCGGCTGTTCATCTTCTTCTTTTCAATATCTCCAATTAAAGGCTCGAGCCAGACATCTGCTCCACCAGATTTCCTTAGAAGACTGTTATTAGCAGGAACTTCGAGTGTCACGCTTCTCATAGCCAAACTTCTGCTAGTGGAACCTTCCTCTGTATGTTGAACAGAGGAAGGGGGAGCTATGGAAGGAGGAGTGGTGGAAGAAGTAAAAATAACAGGAGTCGAAGTTGGGGCAGAAGAAACAGGTAAGGGAGCAGGAGCAGATAAAGTGGGCAAAGAAACACTTGAAGGTAAGGGAGGAAATTCATACCGTGAGTTTTCACTTTCCAACCATGTTGATTGGAAATGGACTTCCAAGTTCTTGCCTCCACAGGCACGGCTTTCAAAATCGCATCTACCCAACCACGGAAATTAGGAACGGGTTCCACATCTCCCATGGTTGCTACAAAAAAGCAAAAAAGGATGAAATTAGAAAAGGAGTTAAAATTCTTAAAAATAGGTACGGTAAGAAAGAAAAACCTACGTGCAAGGTTCCATTTTTCAGGAAAGGGAATATTTGATTCACCCACCAAACCAACTGTGGGTACTGCAACATAACGAGTGTACCAGCCTCGATCTTTATCATCTTCAGGGCTTACCAAGACCCTTTTACTTCTTGCAGTTAGGGCAAAAACACCATTGCGGAATAGCTTGGGGTGGTAAAGATGAATAAGATGGGGAAAGGTAAAGTCAACATCAGCTTTGACAGATAAATACCTTAAACAAGCCACTGCTCTCCATATGAGGGGGCCAATTTGTCCTAAACAAATTTTGAAAAAACGGCAAAAATCAAGTATTACTGAGTCAATAGCAGGAATAAATCCCAAAGTGAAGGGATAAGTATAAACAAAAGAAAATCCAATCCTATAAGAGGATTGTAACGACCCGACCGGTCGTTTTGAGAAATTAAGCTCCGTTCAGCGGCATAAGGTCTGGAACCGCTTCGTAATATGAGTATCGACTAGCGTGCATGGTGTAATTCGGCTTCCGGATGGTTTTGAGTCAAATTTAGAGAAGAAACCTTGTTTTGGAAGTTAGAACGGTGAAAAGTCGACCGGAATTAGACTTTTGGGTAAACGACCCCGGAATGGGTCGTGGATGATCTCAACAGCTTCGTATGGTGATTTTGGACTTAGGCGCGCGTCCGGATTCAGATTTGGAGGTCTGTAGAGTAAATTGAGGCATTTTGGCGAAAGTTGAAGTTGGAAAATGAAGAAGTTTGACCCACAGTTGACTTTTGGGATATCGGGGTCGGAATGCGATTCCGAAAGTTAGAATAGCTCCGTTATGTTATTTTGGACTTGTCTGTAAAATTTGGCGTCATTTCGAGTTGAATTGATAGGTTTCGGCATGGGTTTCGATATTTGAAGATTTAGAAGTTCATAAACTTGATTTTTGGTTTGATTCATCGTTTCGATATTGTGTTATATGATTTGGAACTTCGAGCGAGTCCGTGTTAGGTTATATGACTTGTGTGTGTGATTGGTTGAGGTCCCGGTGGCCTCGGATGTGTTTCGGATGCTCAACGGGCAAAGTTTGGAGTTAGAAGGAAAATTGCAGCAGGGCTACTGGTATTTTCGCTTCTGCGGCTTGGGAACCGCAGAAGCGGAGCAGCAAAAGCGGCTTGGCAGCCGCAGAAGCGATGGAGGACCTTTGGGCAGGAGCCGCAGGAGCGAAGGGATTTCCGCAGAAGCGGACTCGCTTCTGCGATGAAAGAACCGCAGAAGCGGAAATTGGGGAGCTTAAAGAAATCGCAGAAGCGGTTGGTTTTCCGCAAAAGCGGGACCGCAGAAGCGGTCTCTGGACCGCAAAAGCGGAAATCACTGGTATGAAATAGTATAATCCGAGGGTTTATTTCAAAAGTTGGAAAATCAATTGGGAGCTCGGGAGAAGGCGATTTTGTGTGGATTTTGAAGAGAAGATCAGTGGGTAATGTTTCTTTAACCTCATTTAGTTGTTTTCTATCAATATCTAGCTAAATCCATCATTAGAATTCGAATTCAAGGTCAAAATTGGGAAAATTGGATGAAACTTCTTAGACTTAATTATTGTGTTTTGAGTGGGCATTTGACCTCCGATTTGGGAGATTTTTATATGGTTAGACTCGTGAGAGTATGAGGATTTCTGAAAATGTTAAATTCATCCGGTTCCGAGATGTTGGCCTGAGGGGCATTTTGGTCATTTTACCTAATTTCGCGCTTTAGCTTTGAATTAAATAGTAGAATCAGTTTCTTGAGATGTTATTTATAATGTGTGATTTAATTGAATAGATTTGGGCCATTTGGAGTCGAGTACTCGTGGCAAGAACGTGGTTGCTAGTTGATTTTAGCCGGTTGGAGGTAAATATCTTGCCTAACTTTGTGTGGGGGATTTTCCCATAGGATTTGAGTCTTCTCTGTTGATTGTATTTCGTGTACGCGAGGTGACGAGTGCGTGCTCGGATTTATTTGTGGTAATTGTCCCTTTTAGGCTCTTATACCCTGGAAATTTCCGAGTGTGAAGATGATATTGATACGATTGAATTCCCTGTTATTAGTTTCACTTCTACATGTCTTACTTGTTATTTGTTTGCCCTTCTTGATTTAATCTTGCTGTTTAATTGACTTTCACGTGTTTAACTGAAGACAATTACCCTTCTATAGTCATATTATCCGTCCTAACTGCTCGCCTTTAATTGGAAATCATAAATGTTATATCTCATGTAATTAATCGGTCTTAGTTGAAAAGAAGAAAGATATTTTATGATTAGTTGATATTTCCTTAATTATAATTATTTGATTCATGTTAAATTCCTTACTGTTTGGATACTCCTTGATTGTAAGTTCATCTGTGACTTCGTGCAAATATATTACATGTCCAACTGTTGTGGTTATCGGTGTAGCTATTACGCACTTATTATGTCTTGTTATGTCGTTGAGGTTATTGTGTTTTTCCTTGGTGTTCCGTGACCTTATTAGGTATTGTTGATTCCCTTGCCGGGACGTTATTGTTTCTGTTG